GGGGACAGGAGATAGGTAGTAGTCAGATCTGTCCTAGTTCAGCACCCTGGAGCAGCCAGGGGGTGGGGGAATGACCAGATCAGTCTTAGTTCGGCCCCACCAGAGTAGCTGGGGGGAGTGGAGGACTTCTTCACTGTGGCCTGTTGGACCGTGCGGCACTAGCAAGCCAATCTATTCCCTCCCAGTGTGGGAACCCAGAGTGGGGAACTCCTTCACCTCCATCTGTGGGATGCACGTGGCTCTAACAAAGAGTTCTGGGCCCGCCCAGAGCGGAAGACTCCTCCACCGCCTCCTGTAGGGTGTGTGTGGCTCTAGCAAGCAGTTCTGGGCCCACCCAGCACAGGTGCCTGGAGCAGGGAACTCCTCTGCTGGCCCCCGTGGGGTGTGCATGTCTCTAGAAAGCTGTTTGGGGTCTGCCTAGAATGGAGGACTCCTCCATCACTGCCTGCAGGACACCCGTGGCACTAGCAAGCAGTTCTGGGTCCTCCCAGAGTGGAGGACTCCTCTGCCACCGCCCATGGGGTGTGCAAGGCTCTAACCAGTAGTTCTGTGCCTGCCCGGAGCAGCGGAAGTCCTCTGCAGCCACCTGCAGCCCGCAGGAGGTGTGTGGCTCTAGCAAGCAGTTCTGCCCCTGCCCAGAGCCCTGGAGTAGGGATCTACTCTGTTGCCTATAGGGTACGCAGCTCTACCAAGCAGTTCTGGGCCCTTCCGGAGTGGGGAACTTGTCTGCTGCTACCCGTGGGGGTGCGCAAGGCTCTAGCAAGTGGTTCTGCACCTACCCAGAGCAGGGGAAGTCCTCTGTGGCCACCCGCCACACACAGGAGGTGTGTGGCTCTAGCAAGCAGTTCTGCGCCTGCCCGGAGCCCTGGAGCAGGGATCTACTCTGCTGCCCGTGGGGCGCGCAGCTCTAACAAGCAGTTTGGGGCCTTCCCAGAGTGGGGGACTCGTCTGCCACCAGCCGCGGGGGTGCGTGAGGCTCTAGCAATTGGTTCTGTGGCTACCTATAGCAGGGGAAGTACTCTGTGGCCACCCACTGCCTGCAGGAGGTGTGCGGCTCTAGCATGCAGTTC